AAATCAAAAACATGGTAGATGTGGTGGCTGCATTAGTCTTGTTTTTTTTAGTCATTCCCCTTATTTTCACCTGATTATCTGGCAAGCAAGTCTGTTAAGCCAGCGTTTTTCAACCACTGTGCCGCGGCAAACTAGTGTGCCGTGAGATATTGTCTGGTGTGCCGTGGGAAAAATTGCAATTTCATCCGTAACATGTGGCCTCGGCTCACAAATAGACCGATCATTAGAACAGCAATGGGCAAACTACGGCCCGCGGGCCGTATACGGCCCGGCAGACCTTTTACTACGGCCCGCGGAGCGTGATACTGTCAGGATGATCTGTCCCCCTCGACGTATCTGCGCATGTGCCGGAGATCGCCGATCGGCTGCTAATGCCTGAAACTGGCACATGCGCAGATACGTCGAGGGGGACAGATCCTCATAGGAGACAGATTTTCATGCTACACCGGAACGGCGAGAGGAACGCGCGGAGCAAAGGTAAGTGAATTGACACAGGGGGGGGGGGCTTGGGGACTTAATACGGGGGATGAATTACTATAGGGGGGATGAATTACTATATGGGGGATGAATTACTATATGGGGGATGAATTACTATATGGGGGGTGAATTACTATATGGGGGGTGAATTACTATGGGGGATGAATTACTATATGGGGGATGAATTACTATATGGGGGATGAATTACTATGGGGGATTAATTACTATGCTTACTATGGGGGAATATTACTATACTTACTATGGATGACACATACACATCATTCATCTACTCTTGGTCCGGCCCCCCGGTCCAATATATGAACCCATTGCGGCCCTCAAGTCAAAAAGTTTTTCAATACATTTTTTTAACATTTTCTAATGGTGGTGTGCCTCGTGATTTTTTTCATGAAAAAAGTGTGCCTTTGCACAAAAAAGGTTGAAAAACACTGTGTTAAGCTACATTCACACAGGTGATTTGATCTGGTGCTAATGAAAGTTGCAGGAATCTGCAGATTCCTGAAGCGGTTTTTGCCACCTGTGATCAGTTAGCTGTGTTTGCCAAGCCCAAACACTTTAATGACAGGTCAGTGGCAGCCTTAGCCATTTGTGGCTGTTTGCAGAGCCAGCTTTTACCTGTGGTGATCGTTGCTGAACACACAAAGTTTAAAAAGGGTTAGCTGGAGTTAGGTTTTATATGATGTTAGTCTCTTGACTTACAGTAAAGTCTATTTAAATCTACAAAACAAAAAGGCAAAAGCACCACACCTAATGCAGTCACCACATTTACAGTGTAACTAAATCCTCCAAATACTCCGATCCTTTACAGCCTAGGAAGTTGCCATCTTAGCTTCTATTTGACCTGCAGCTGCCATGGTGCTGCACACGTAAATCAGTTATAACACCAGCCATCTGATGGCTTGACAGTGTAGTTGAGAGCAGAAGAAGCTGTAACAGCTATTCAAGGTATGCCTTGAATGTAACCTAGGGACAAAATTAAAATTGATGGGTTTACTTCTGCTTTCAACAATTGTAAGCTGAATCATATTACATTTTTGGTTGTGGGAATAAAACGTGCTTTGAGGGCTCATTCACATCATGGGGCAGAGATGTCAGTTTTTCTACACACTTTTTACAAAGGCACAACAAAAATCAGCTGTTCTCTATGTGCCCTGTTTACACCACAACACTAGTATCACGTGCAAGTTTTTTCTTCAGCGCACAAATCTGCAACATGTATAAAACTCCTTGAAGTGCGCATGAAAACTGATGTAAACTGATGTCACTGAAAGTGAAATCTGCACATCAGTTTCCATCATTTTTTATGCACGTATGGTGTGAACGAGGCCTAACTGTTGGTCTAAGTTAACTTCTCGTTTGGTTATTATTTTTCCACCTGTATGTTTAACCGCTTCCTTTCCGCCCTATAGCAGAAAATGTACGGGTGCGCAAAATCACGTAGCTATACATGAGTTTGCAGCTCTGGGTAGGGGGGCGCGCGCGCACCCTGCCCGCACCATTCGCAGCCGCAGGTGTCAATCACCGGGTCCTGGACGGTGATTACTCGCCGGCGCCCGGTGATTGCCGAGGATCTCCAATGGGGAGGAGAACGGTTTGTAAACAAAACCGTTCTCCCTGTCAGCTTGTGCACACTGCTTTGCATGGTTGTGCACAGCCCAGCCATACAAAGCAGTGTGCTTACAGTGAAGCAGAAACACACGGTCCCCTAGTAAAACACACCCAGCACACAGTTAACCCTTTGATCGTCCCTCATGTTAACCCCTTTCTGCCCAGTGCCATTAGTACAGTGTCAGTGGGTTTTTTTTTAGCACTGATCACTGTATTGGTGTCACTGGGGATGTCAGTGACACCAAGTCCGTTCCCCCAGTTTCAGAATGCCCACCGCAGTTCTGCTATAAGTCACTGATCGCAGCCATTACTAGTTAAAAATCCAAGTATGTATACCGCCATTTGTAAACGCTATAAAACCTTTCACGTAAACCAATAATTTACACATATTGGTATTTTTTTTTTTTAGCAAAGACATGTAGCAGAATACATTTGGGCCTAAATTTATGACTACATTTGATTTTTTTAATTTTTTTACTGGACATGTTTAATAGCAAAAAGTCAAAAATATTATTTTCTCAAAATAGTTTTTTTTTTTATAGTGCAAAAAATAAAACACAGGCGACTAGCACTGAAAGAAAGCTCAATTTGTGGGCTAAAAAGGACATAAATTTAATTTGGGTGCAGCGTTGCATGACCGTGCAATTGTCAGTTAAAGTAATGCAAAAAATGGCCTGTCCAGGAAGGAGGTAAATCCTCAGGAGGGCAAGTGGTTAAAGAGGAATTCTAGGTATGGATATTTTATACATAGCTACATTGGTCCAGCTTGGACCAATGTAATTATACATATATTATACCTGGGCAATGCCCCTAGAAGCTGGAAATCACTGAAGTGGACATTGCTACTCTAGCGATCTCCACTTGCTTCTGGATCCTGTGCCAAGCAGCAGCCCAGCTGGATTCTGAACACAAGACCGTTCTGCACCAGCGCTATTCGGAGAATGCTTTGCAGTTTCTGAATGAAAGAAAAAGTGTTCTCAGAATGGATAAGGTGAAGAAGCAGAACAGTGATAGCATACACTAGTCTTCAATGGACTAAAGAGTTATGTTCGTACCATAAAATCATTTTTTGGAATCGACTGAACGACATAAATCTCGCTCTTCTGTCTTTCGCCTTAAGTACAGTTTGCTCAGGAAACTGAGGCATGATGGTTAGAGGCAGGGTGATGAGGGATGGCATAATGGTTTTCGCTGCATCCAGACCTTCTGTAGACAGCAGTATAACCCCACGTCAGGCTAATCTACAGTCCTGTGTCCCTCAATGGAATCCAAGATGAAGCTTTTAAGGCAAATACAAAAACCGCATTATTCTTTCTAGTCGATTCAGGGACACAGGGGGGTTTATTTACTAAAGCTGGAGAGTCCAAAATCAGACTCCCTTTTGCATAGAAACCAATCAGCTTCTAACCTCAGCTTGTTCAATGAAGCTTTGGCAATGAAACCTGGAAGCTGATTGGTTTCTATGCAGAAGTGAGTCTGATTTTGGACTCTCCAGCTTTAGTAAATAAACCCCAGGATGTCCTTTAAACTTCATAACATGCAAAAGCAGTACAACTTAAGTGTGGAAAACAAAGAAAACAATTGCTAACAGGCCTAAGAATAAGGGTCTGTTCACACCATGGTGCAGAGACCTCAGTTTTTCTGCACATGTTCTGCAAGAGCACAACAAAATCAATTGTTCTCTATGTGCCCTGTTTACACCACAACACTAGTAACACATGCAGATTTTTTCTGTGCAGGAGTCTGCAACATGTATAAAACTCACTGAAGCATGCATGAAAACCGATATCTCTGCAAGTGAAATCTGCATGTCCGTTTTCTTCAGTTTTTCTCCACGTATGGTGTGAACAAGGCCTTAAAACAAAAAGAAAAATAATAGAGAACTGGGGACTGCCTATATCTCAGAGCTGAAGAAAAGTAAGCATCAAATGAGGCTGAAACATCTACCTGGTAGAATGCAGAGAACATGTGAAAATAAGACAAGGTAGCAACTTTGCATATCTGGGAAACAGCTGCTCAATTCTGAAAGTCTAAGAGTATAGTTTTGTACGCATATATATGCAGGACTATAGCAATCAAATGAGCCCATACACACAGTTGCATCCACATATTCAAAAACGTGCGCTGTGTTTAGCTACACATGAAAAAAAAAAAAAAAAAAAAAAAAAAACACATGTACTTTCGTTGCATATTTCATGTGGATCTTCTAGTTCTGCCAGCAAGAACCCTTCTTTCATGCAGAAAATACATGTATGCCCTTTTGAGTGAGCGCCAAGAAAGGCTCACAGATCTTCTAGAACAGTGGTCTCCAAGCTGTGGCCCTTTGCTAACCCCTTGGGACACCATCCCTGCCATCGCCGGGGCACCATTTCTCCCACTGACACCATTGCCTGGGCACGGTTCCTCCTGTTAAAACCAATGATGGGGCAGGGCTTACTCCCACCTATGCAGAGACATTTTCTATTCACACGGGACACAGTCCGGCCCCCCTAAAGCCTGAAGGACAGTAAACTGGCCCTTTGTTTAAAATGTTTGGAGACCCCAGTTCTAGAAAATGCTTTGACAGGAAAGGGTGGCGAGGCAGAGAGAGATAGAAAGTTATGTCTTATAAACTATACCCATAGTGAAACTCAGTTGCTCATAATAAAAGTTACTTTAAGCACAGAGGCGGACTGACATCTCATGGGGCCCCAGGGCAATAGAGGATCATGGGGCCCATGTGTCCTTGCCCAAACTCAAAAAAGCCTATGAAAAAAGGTACCAGAGGCATCTCATGGGGCCCCCTACTGACCCCGGGCCCTCGGGCAGTGCCCGAGTTTCCAAATGGTCAGTCCGCCCCTGTTTAAGCACCATTGTACTTCATTATTGCAGATTACATCGCATTGTCACATACCTACCTCTCCAGTACCATAAGGCCAAATAACTTCATTAAGCAGAAGTGAATTAGGGTAGATATCTCGTAAACATTTTGTGATGAATGTTCCCATGCCTGAACCAGTGCCACCAGCCATGCTCATTATGTTGAAGAAACCACCCAATCGATCACATTTTTCTACTTGCTTTCTAATCAAGTCAATAACAAGATCTTGATATTTAGGGCCATGTACACAGTAACTACAAAGGCAATGGAAGAAATACACAAATGTAAGCTGCATGAAAAAAAAAGGAGAGAAGAAAAAAAAAAAAAAAAAAAAAAAATGCAGATGCAAAAAAAAAAAAAAAAAAAAGTTGATAAAACATTCACGGTTCTAAACATAATTAGTTATGGTGACTACAGTGGGTATAAAAAAAGAACCCCCCTCCCCTTAAAATAATCACATTTTGTTCCTTAGCAGTCTGAAATGAAGACAGGCACAGTTTTTGTTTTATGCAGCTGTATTTACTCAGTGCAACTTAGAACAACCATGTGAAAGATACAACACCAACATGTCAGAAATAAATATAGAAAATTCAAAAACAGAAATCACTGAATTGGGAAAAGGATCACCCTCTTCTCTCAGTATTTTGTTGAACCACCTTTTGCTTTAATTCCAGCCTTCACACTATAGAAACGCAGTACAGATGCGCTCTGGATGCATTTTGCATGCACGTTTTTGATGTGTTCCAGTGCATTTTTTTATGCATTCCAGTTTATTTTTTCCCTTTTACTTCAATTTAAACAGGGACATGTGCATTCCAGTGCATTTTTTGTGCGTTTTTCGTGTTCCAGTACAGTTATGTGCATAAAGAATGCAGCCGGTTCTACTTTTCTTTGCAACTGTAACGCACTGGAACTGCAAGCACTGATGTGAACTATGACATTGACAACCATATCACCTGTCTGTGTGTTTTGGATGCAGAAAAAAAAAAGCAACTGAAACGCATGTAGTTTGAACAAGCCCTTAGTCTGTTGGGATGTCTCTACTAATTTTGCAATATTTGCCAACTCTTCTTTGCAGAACTGCTCAAGTTCAGTTAAATTTGATGGTGACTATTTGTGGACTGCAGTCTTAAATTCAATTGAAAATCTGTGGATTGACTTGAAGTCTGGGCTCTGACTAGACCATTCACCTTTTTCTCCTTTAACTGTGTGGTCATTTTTGCTGTGTGCTTTGGGAATCTGTCATGTTGGAAGGTAAAATTTCTTCTGATTGACAACCTTCTAGCAGGGGGCAAGAGAGGAGGCACTGATGCTGCTGCACTGATATGCAGCAGTGATAGGCGGCACTTACTGATGGCAATGGACACTGATGGGTGGCACTACTGGGCACTGATAGGGCTGTATCAATAATCAGGGCTAGATAATCAGTGCCCCAATTATCAGTACAGATGTCCTCTGTGACACTTGCTGGTTATCGGCAGTACTTTCCTCACACTGTGACAGCGTGGGGAAAGTGCAGCTGATAACAGGCAACTGTATTTACTTTGTGATCAGCTGTGTTATCGGACATAGTGATCATAGACAGCGCTCTGTGTGCGCCGCTGGGGGCGTCATATGACGCCATCCCAGACAACAACTACGTTGTTGCCGTCATTCGGCTATAGCGTGGTTGGAGTGTGGTTAATAAGACTTCACTGTGCTTCTAGGCATTGATAAAGCCTTTTACATTTTTTTTGTATCCATCTCCTGACTTGTGCCTGCCCACAACTTTATCCCAGAGATCTTTTGAAAGTGCCTTGCCACCCATAAATTGTTTGCTTCAGTTACACTACCTGGGACTGAAATTATTTTTTCAAGCGGAGCTAATCAAAAATGACCACAGTTGATCACATCTGAAAGTCAAATGGCTGTGTGTGCTATTGAGAAGATAATTATCTACACCTGATTGAGTTTACACATCCTTTTTAGAAGGGGGTGATCCTTTTTCCAACTCAGCGATTCTGTTTTTGATTTTTTTTTTTCCTGACATGTTATAGATCTTTCACTTGGATGTTATAAAATTGCAATAACTACAGCTAGATAAAACATTTCAGGCTGCAAAGCAACAAAATGTGAATTTTTTAAATAGGGTGATTATTGTCTATACCTACTGTATCTATACAATTGTATAGATTTATTACAAGAACAATTTATTCTTTACGCAATATTTGGAATAGGTACGTATGGAAAATAATGACAAAGCAATTTAGCAAAAGAGAAACAGAAGATAATCCAAGACAATCCAGCTGGCATTCTTGTCAAATGCTTCATTTGACCTGCATTACATTCAGTTCACACTAGTTCAATGCACCTCACTAGAACATGCTGCAGTGCTTTACAGAAAAAGCTGTGTCTAACCTGCTTTGCATGCCATTACTGGAATTGCTGACCCTTATTAAAATGCTAGATGTCCGATTGTCATGCAGATCCAATGAAAGGGCACAAAAGTTTAAAACTTTCTGAGGCACATAACAAGTGAGCAGATTGGGCATTCTGACATTGGATGGAAGCTGTTCTGGAGTAATAACTTGGTGGTCAAAAATGACAGCTTTGTATTTCTTCCAGTATGGTTTTCCTTTAAACTGGAAATAAATCCAAAAAGGTAAAATATCCTTTAAAGCAGTATTAAACCACTTATTATATTGCATCTTACCAATTCCTAGATGTGCTGATTACATTAGTTTTCTTTTTTTAATCTGGCCAGTATGAACAAGCTCTCTTACAGATAGAGCAGAGCTGAGATGTAGAGGAGACAATTTATCACTGACAAGGGTGCTTACAATAATCAGCTTTTATGTAAAACGTTTATCCCAAAAGGAAACAGTTAATTTGTTAGTATATCTAAATCTGCTTGTACACCTAGCACTCCCCTTTCCCTTGATTAACAATGCTGCTGTCAAAAGATGCCCTTGTACTACTTTATCCAGAGACTGGAGGCATTGTAAGGTCCCAGTCACACCGATCAGACTTTGAAATCATGCGACTTCCAGTGAAGCCGCACAATTTCAAAGTCGGATGTCATTCCGACTTGAGGTGCGACTTGCAATACATCTGCCCAGATGTCTATGCAAGTTACACTTGAAGTAGTGCATGCACTACTTTAGAAATCGGTGTGACCAAACAGAATCGCACTGATTTGACCGCTTTAATCGCGGATAATAGGGTGCAACTTGCCATGCAATTTGCAAATGGTGCGACCGGGGTGTAATACATGAGGTGTGTTACTGGCCAGATCACCAGGATAAAAACAGGCAGAAAAGTCTAAAAAATTAAAACTAAAACAGCCATTACATCTGATTGGTAAGCTGCAATAGATTATTTTTTTTTTTGGGGGGGGGGGGGGGGGGGTAATGACGCTTTAAAGGCTAAATGTCGGTCAGCTACTAAAAAGAAAAGAAACAAGAAAGAAAAAAAAAAAAAAAAAAAACTTGGGTATATTTTTATTTAGTCCAGTGGGGTGCAATACAGATGAATACCTGCCTTGCTCCTTGCTTTCGTGGCAGCTGGCAATCTTTTTTGTCTCAGCTCTGGCATGTTGGTTGGCACATATACAATGGAAGGCCAATGGTGGCTGCTGGACCTGCATTGTATGCGATGACCTTAGCGAGGAGGGAGACCCCAACCTGGGATTAGAGAAGTATCTTTATCTTGTAATGTACAGCTCTGAGCGAACTATTGGCGCTATATAAATACTGCAAATAATAATAATCTTCACCTGGAACTGGTGGGAATGAAGCATGTGGGAGCAACAAATAGGCAAGTAATTCTCTGAATCACACCCTCCTAAACAAAACAAGATGTAATTCACTGATATTTATGAATTCAAACCAATTTGTTGAATATGCTTTATTCATGGTGGTTATGTAAAACATGCAGTGGAAAAGAAATGATGTAAAATTCACCATACCCATGAGCCCAATTGTTCCCAGATCCTTGTTTCTGGGAAAACTGTGATTTCTCATCATAAGTCCATTTACCAGACCGGGCTGCAAGTGCTAAAGTCTGAGTAATAACTTTGGGCTCCATATCAAGAAGCACTGCTCGACTTACAAATTCTGCAACACAAATCAAAGTGGAGGTATAGTGAAACACAAGAAAGTTTACAGCAATAAAATATTTATTAAATGGAAACGAACCTCCAGATTCAGTCTCTTCAAAGAATCTATCCTTGGAAACTGCCTGGTAATAGTTATTTTCTTTCTTGGAGCACAGTCCATTGCTATAGAAATCATTGCAGAGGACGTCAAACAATTCATAGCCAATTTGGTTTCCACACTGGCCCAATTGCAATGTAATGAATGCCATATCTTTCAGTTATCTGCAGCAGAAAAATTAAACAAAAAACAGAAAAAAAAAACAAAAAAACAAACATGAAATGAAAAACACTGTCAGTACATCTTTTTCTATAATATTTATCGTTATAAATTAGCATTACATGAAGATATATTCTTGACAACATAAATTCTAAACTCCACGCAGATATTAAATGACATTTCATGCAATTGGAAATTCTTCTAAAAATAATAAATGTATTTTTTAGGGATGCACCAAAATATCGGCGGTTAAAATGTATCGGCTGAAAATAGTGTTATCGGCATTTTGCCGATAGGAAAAAAAAGGTGGCAGTAATGGCAGCCGAAACTGCGCGATTTTACTGCCATAGTCATGTTAGCAACAAAACGCAACATGTGTGCGTTTTTGATGGGTTTTCAATGCATTTCAGGCCTTGGTTCACACCAATGCAGTTTATGTTTCTTCCGTTTTGTAGTGCGTTTTTTTTTTTTGCCAACTTGTTGCCGGGCAGATTAAAAATACAACATGCGCATTTTTTATGCATTTTCAATGCATTTCACACTCTATTCACACTAGGTTTTTTCAAACAGCGGTCGGAACTGACACAATTCTGCCCGCAATTTGAAAACGCTGTGTAAGTAATGTTTGATCGCATTTTTAAGTGCCATTCATTTCAAGCAACCTTTTTTGGGCATCATGCATCCCGTGATTTAGTTTGCGCAATCGTGACATGTTTGCCACGCAAAAAAGCGCACTTCGATTATGGCAAAAAGCACTGCTTATTCAGGTGCCATTGAAATTAATGGCACCTGAAGACGCAATTGCACGTTTCACACTTTTACAGCACAGGGTCACATCGTGGGCAAAATCGCGGCAAATCCACCCACAATTTGAGTAAACCAAGTGTGAATGGAGCCTTACTCCTGGTTCACACCAATTCAGTTTGCATTTTGTCCATTTTGAGTTTTTCAATGAACATTTTTCACGTGTTTTGATGCGTTTTTTTAACCTTTTTTTGGGACAACTTTTTACTGGACAGATTAAAAATGCAAAAACGCATAAAAAAAAGCAACATGTACATTTTCGATGCGTTTTCAATACATTTCAGACCTGGCTCACACCAATATAATTTGTGTTGTCTTGCAGTGCGTTTTGCATGCACATTTTTGATGGGTTTTGTGCATAAAAATGCAAAATGCTGCAAAAACGTACTACATATGTTTTCTGCAGTGCCTCATTTGAAGTTTATTGAACCAAAAACGCAACATTTTGCACTTAAAAAGTCCCTCACCCTTTCCAAACATGCAGCTGCTCAAAAAATCAAGTGAACGCGTCTCATAGAAAACCATGCTAAATGGACTGTAGTGTGTTTCTTCAAAAAGCCCTAAAAAACGCATTGGTGTGAACCAGACCTTAATGAGGAGGTGCCAAATATGCACCAAAAATGTGGCAAGCAGGATTTTTAACACCGCAAGGGAGGTGCAACAGACCAGTGTAAAGACACACATTGAATTTAAAGGGATGCATTTTTCTTTAGCTTTTCTTGTACCTTTTAAAAAAACGCAAAAGTGCTACAAAAACTGCTCAGTGGGAAAGCAGCCCATTGGCTGAAAAGGTGCTGATAATAAATTCATTTTCATTTAAATTCACGATGTTCATTAAAAAGTTGAATATAATACAATTAATACAAATAATACAATTATATATAAAAAAATATATTTTTTTTAAAAAACTGTCCATTTCGGTTTTCGGACAAATGCGTCCTGAATTTCTGGTTTTGGTCCAAGAATTTTCATTTTGGTGCACACTAGTATTTTTACATTCCATTCTTCCTTATTCACTGTCCAGCTGAAACAGCTTTTCACCATCTCATACAATTTTAGTGGCTGCTAGCAGTGGGTTTGGACAGTGTGTACCTGTCCCGTCTAATTGCATCAGAATCTCATGTACAGGGGCTAAGCACCCAGTGTGCATGAGGCCTAAGAGCCCATTTACATTTTTGTGGAGCATAATGCACATGCACTGGACCTCATGCATACAGACCGAGGTGCTGCAAAATCAATCCGAGTTGTGATGATCGCGGCGTCAGGCCCCTGTCCTTCTCACCAAACTTGTGACCGAAGGACTAGCCAATCTAAAACCGCGATGCCACGTGCGCAACAATGCCACGTCCAGCTGCACCCTGCACAACGATTTTCCAGCTAATGGACCACAAGTCAATGTATCGGCAACCTGAGTGCGATTGTTAGTGGGTCAGGTTAATTACACAATTAACCCTTCACACTGCCACCACCTCCTTTTTGTACAGAGAAAGAGGAAACTCTGCAATATCAGCAATAACACAAGGATGATTGGATAATCGTCTGGATACCACTGTCACCGCAGACAGGCTATACAGAGGGTTAAACATACATAGTAGTGCTCTTCAGCGGCAGGAATTTGTAAGTTGCATTAAAGAGCAATAGAAACAGTTCAACACTATCGAAAGAAAGATTACTAAAAAGGTCAAAAGGGTGCAATAAAAATATTTACAGAAAAAAAAGATGAGAGAGAGAGAGAGAGAGAGAGAGAGAGAACGAGAACGAACACACAGCAAAAAAAGGTAACAGAAAGCAGTTTAGAGAGGTAGAGTACTTGCAAAAGGGCACCGTCTCCCAAGTTGGTTCTGCAGGGGGTGTCTCTGAAGCCAAGGACCAATGCCTCATTTGGGGAGGGGTGTCTAGGCAGAGACCCAAGCTAGAACCGAAATCTCTCTTAGCTTATATTTTGGCTCATAACTTTTCCTAGGCACAAGTAACATTCCACCCGCGGGTAGATTAATATGCAGACGCATCTGCGGAACGGTTAGACATACTTGAATGGTTCAAGAGATGTAATTTTCTGCTTTCCTATATATTCCAGCCAAGGAGTGTGACATAAACGGTTTGTCTGATTGTGAGCAATCTGAAGATATGCCTGGTTTTTATGTAAGTCTCTCATATTCCAAGATATGAGACATAGGGGGAAAATGGATTTTAAAAAGTGGTATCTAGTTTATGACTCCCCTGGAATGTCTTTGAACTCAGGGGAAAGCTTGGGTTATCCTTTTACGAGGTGCCAGATTGCACAGTTTCTTAGACCGCCCGGCACCCAGCTCAGAGAGGTTTTATAGCTCGGAGCTTCCTGCTGTGCTCTGGCTTGCCTGTGACACTTTCCAACACACACTGACCACATGTCACTGTGGATCTCAGAGAGAGGGGGGGGGGGGGGGAAAGGAGGAAAGATATGTTTGTACAAGATGGATGATCCTTTGCCAAGATGGAGGTTGGAGCAAAATGGTTGCACCGCATCCATCTCTTGGGTACGATTGCTACACCAGTGTTTTCCCTGGCTGGAGAGCTGCAGGTGGCTCTTAAGCGGGCCAAAGAAGTGACTGCATGACTGCACGCGGCTGTACTTGGATACGTGGACAAGTATGGACATTCTGCGTTCCATGAATACGACATACATGCATGTGCTCGTTCACATTGATACATGAAAGCATCAGTGTATACCCTAGTAGAGCTGTGTACAGCCATTCACTTCCATGGCTGGCTGTATAAGCCACCTGCAGCTCCCCAGGCAGGGAAACACCGGGATTTAACACTAGAACATATTTTGCACCTTAAATGGCCCATGTGCATGAGACCTTGTTTTGTATTAAAGGACAAGTTCACCTTTTCACTAGCTCATGCACCAAAATGTCCAGAAAAACTGGCAAGCCAAAAATCTGTAACGTAAGACATCTGCATCATGCTGGGTGCCTTAAAAAGAATCTTCACACAACAAATACTGTAGCTGCTGACTTTTCATAAAAGAACACTTACCTTTTTTTCAACAGTCTTCAGGTCCCTGGCACTGGCATGTTTAAGCAGGCCATACATTGGGCCAAATTTTGAACAATTTTTTGATCAATAAAATAATTTGTTTTGTAATCCGATGGTATCACCAATGAAAATCAGGTCGTTTTTCATGAATTTTCCAGCATGCCCGATAAACAAAAATGGGGAGGAACCATGAAAATCAGCCGGTTCCATTGCCCCACTAGCAGAGCGAAAAATTGACCGATTAGCCTTAGGTCCGATTTTTGAAAGAAAAATCGTTTGGAAATCGACCCATGTATGGTCAGCCTTAGTGTGGGAAGTCAGCTGTGACTTGCAGCTTCAGCACACCTGTCCCAAGAGGATGCCAGCAGACAGGGAGGGGAAGGCGAACTTCCGGTGGCATTAGCTAGGCAATCTGGCCGGAAGTGGGAGCGGGAACCTACTAAAACTAGGTGCCCCTCCAAATGTCCAAAAAAGTGTTAGAGGAGGGGTGCAGGAATTCATGTTGACAGAGTAAAGTTCCCCTGTCTGGCCACTGCAAATATGCAGTTTGGGCCGGACAAGCATCATTCTGGGAAGACACATGGGTGCATCTTCCTTCTTTTGGTGCTAGTGCGCAGCCTTGCAGCAGTGTGATCTGTGACTGCTGTGTTCACTGGACACAGCGCACCACCAATCGGAAAACTGGGCTGCTGTGTATTGGCCCTGGTACCAATCATAGCGATCACATGAAAAGTGGCAAACATTGGCTGTCATTCATGACTACTGCTTATTACTGTGTTTGGTCAAAGTTATCACATGGTATTGGGCCAGTTACTGGGGACACAGATATCACAATAGTAAACAATGGCATCATGAATGCATGCCAAACACAATTAAAGACAGATTGCTTATACACTGATCATCACTATAATAAGCAAAATAATAACTATTAAATCCTGTTCACCCCCACAGAGCAGTATGGTGTCACTAGGATGACAGTATAAAAGAAAAAAAAAACAAAACCGAAAAACACCAAACAACCATATACTGTACATTTACATTCTGTCACCAGAGTGTGTGTGGTGTCACTACAGTGACATTTTAGTGATATGACAGTAATATGTACAATGGCTGGCTGCTCTGATATTACTCTATGTCAGTGCCACCGACCATTGTCTCTGATCACTG